TTTTTCTGTGCCTGGCTTATTTCACTTAATAATTTTCTCCAAGCAAATTTATCATCCATGTTGCTGCAAATGGCAGAATTTCATTCTTTTTCATGACTGAGTAGTATTCCATTGTGTATATATACCACATTTTTCTTATCCAGTTGTCTGTTGATTGACATTTAGGTTCTAACTCTTGGCTATTGTAAATAAAGCTGCAATGAACATGGGAGTGCAGGTATCCCTTTGACATGATGATTTCCATTCCTTTGGGTATACACCCAGCAGTGGAATTGCTGAATTGTTTGGCCAATTTATCTGTAGTTGTTTGGCAAACCTCCATACTGTTTCCCATAATGGCTGTACTAATTTACAATCTCACCAACAGTATAGAAGAATTCCCCTTTCTCTGCATCCTCACCAGTCTTTGTTATTCTCAGTCTTTTTGATTATAGCCAGTCTAAGTGGGGTGAGATGATATCTCAATGTGGTTTTAACCTGTTGGCCATTTGTATATCTTTTTTTGAAAAATGTCTATTCAGCTATTTTGCCCATTTTTTAATTGTTTTTTTTTTTCTTTTACTGCGAAGTCGTTTGAGTTCCTTGTACATTCTTGGTATTAATCCCTTGTCAGATGTATACTTTGCCAATATTTTCTTCCATTCAGTAGGTTGTCTTTTCACTCTGTTGATTGTTTCCTTTGCTCTGCAGAAGCTTTTTAGTTTGATATAATCCCATTTATTTTTTCTTTTTGTCAGTGTAAAATTGTAGGCTATTCAGTTTCATCCAAACATGTTTCCTTCGTTATGAAAAATGTGGGAACTTATAGATTGCTCTTTCATCTTTCTGTGTCCACTTGAAGCATTTACACCTTCATGGGTGACATAACTTCCTATTATGTGCATCTCTTTTTATTAGCAGTGCCTCACTCAGCACCCTGCTGCTCAGCAGTCTTGATGAAGGAGGGGATGATATTTGCAGTTATATTGGAACCAATGAGTTGGGCCCATCTTAAACAATAATAGAAAAAAGAAAGCTTACCTCTCTTGCCATTGTAACATCAGTCAGCTAAGGACAGAACCCATAAAGAAACCCTGTTTTTACCCCTTGTCAAGTGGTTATACAAATCAGAATTTTTTTCCAGTTATTAATTATTTTCCCCTTCCCCATTTTACAGCTCTTACGTCTAGCAAATGCGCAGTTATCTTTTGGTAGTAGAAACTCAAGACCACTTGAAAATATATTTAGTCTGGAAACCTAACTTTAGAAATTAAATTTGATCTTTCCATTCCCCACTCTGTCCCTCCCAAATATAAAATCTAAAAATAGAATAATATATTTATAATTTCATCTATTTTTTTCATGATGGTAAACTAAATATACAAACAAAATGAGTAAAAAAACCCCAAACATACAAAACCGGAAACCTGCTAAAATTAGCAAAAGAAAAAGAAAAAAAAAATCAACAAAAGTAGTCTTTGTTGATCAGTCTTACATCTCCAGCGTAAGTGTATATTATATAATATATCTTTTGAGGTTAATCAGAAGGAACTGATTGCACCCTGCAGGCTGATAATTGACTTTTTATTGTGTTGTTTATGTTTTTATGTTTCATCTTGTTTACCAAGTTATTCATATCCTTAAAATAATATTTTGAAATTCAGTGGTCATTTGTATTCTGTTAAAATTTTCTCAACTAAAATATTTATCATAATGAGTATTAGTATATATTTTTTCACAAAACCACATGAAAGTATTTTTAAATCTTGTTTTCTTTCTTACACTGTTCTTTTTCTCTTAATTTTCCTTTGTTCCTTTCTCATGTTCCCACTTTCTGTAACCCTTTTCTGGCTTTTCATAAATGTATCAGCTAAAGATTTTCTGTGCTAGAAATTTTGTCTCCTCACTCAAATGCTATCTAAGGGTAAAACTTTGAAGAAAATATTTGCTCTGAGGTAACTTAGGTGGGAAGAAAGAATAGGCTTGAAAACATGAAGTTTTATTCTTATCCAGTACATGTAACAGCTTATTACAGTACCTGTAATTGTTATTAGGCTCAATAATAGAAGACGATTCTTCCATATTTACGTTGGAGACAATTATATTGGAGCTATAAAACTACTACTATTATTATTACTACTAGTTATATACCCTAACCACCATAAATTAGTTCATTTTATATATAATTGAAACTACATAAAATCATATATTAATGAGAAAATGAAAGGAGAAAATGTTTTCAGATTTAATATATTCCATTTACTTAAACTTTTTCAGTAACATACATTTCTCTAACTTTTTCTTAGTCCCTGAAATTCATGGAAAAAACAAGCCATTGATCACTTATGTGGGGGATTCTACTGTCTTGACATGTACATGTCAAAATTGTTTTCCTTTAAATTGGACCTGGTACAGTAGCAATGGGAGTGTAATGGTAAGATCGTATTTCTTTTATTTGAAGAAAACAAAAAAACAAAACAAAACAAAAACTCTTTTATTTCATAGATAACAAGATTATAAGACTCAAAGTTCCTAGGATGATTTATATTTCTCCTATCTTATTCTTAAGTATGTATTTGTAAAGAAAGAAGTGATAGATGGAGTTGTCATTTGGTATTTTCAGTGTATTACATTATACATCTGAAGATACTCAATGTTTCATTAGCTGGTTCTTTGTTTTTTAAGTTTTAAAAATTTATTTAAATTCTTCGAAAGGAAATTACAATTTGCTTTCAGTTGACCAAAATAACCCTGTCAAAAAAGATTCTTTTTTTCTTATTCCATGAAAGTAACTAGAAAAAAGCCAGCCTTCTTTTCTGGCTTCTGTTTCCTGAGGTATCTGGGATAAAATGTGATATAATGAAGCCATTTGAGAAAAGAATGAAAATTTAGTAACATATTTGGGGTTCTATCAGTAAGTGCCATTGGCCTTTTTGGCCTTCTAGATACCTGAGGAAAACCAAAATACTTTTATTTCCTATCTATCTAC